CGGCATGTGGTGCTGGGGGATTGAACCGCGGTCCCTGATGCTTTTGCTAAGCTTGTTCTAAGTAGGTGCTTTAGACCACTGAGCCATCTCTCCAGCCCTCAAAACTTTCTTCTCATTGAACAAAGAGAAAGTAGTATATAAAATAGTTAGCATAGAGATGGTATTTTTGAACACAGGATGCTCACTCTCCTTGAACAGGAAAAAGGTTTTATATTAAGAACTTTACCAAAGACAACACCATAAAGATGTGTTAGCAGACAGAGTTCTGAAATAATTAAGAGGGAAAGTAGCTTCCAGCTCAGCTACACAACTTGTAGACTGAGTTTATGTCACTTGCCTAGCCATTTTCTATTGTCCATTTAAAAGTGAAAAATAAAAAGTAAAACTAATGTGGGTTTTAAATAATTTTCATAAACATACTAAATAAGTACAGATCATGAAAGCAAAATCTCAGTGAAGACAAAATCTCAGTGAAGACAAAAGCAGTATTTAAGAGTCTTACCTATGAACTCAAAATAAAACAAATAGAAAATAATCTAATCCAATTTGGGTGCATAGGCAAAGATTTTGTGAAGGAGATACTTCCAAATGGATAGCTTCAAATATTTGTTGCTTAAGGCCTTGAAGTAGCTATTTCTCAGCTGCCTCCTACAGAAATTGCATCTAGACTTCCCCTCAGCTAAAACTATCTGACTCATTTACTTCCCCTGATCTTTATCCTTCAAACATATATATCCTGGAAGATTCCCAATATTTTCTTACATAAAAATCGATTAAAATATCTTCTCAAAGAAGAATCTGTAAATCTGAATTTGCCGTTTTGCCACACATTAACTTTCTACTCCAAAACTGGACAAAAAGATCATTCGGAAGTTAAAGTCCACTTTACTTAAGAATCACTTTTAACTTTATTACTGGAGCGTTTTTTTTGTTGTTGTTGTTGTTTTGTGGTACCCAGGATTGAACTCAGGACCCTGCACTTGCCAGGCAAGATCTTATTCTACTGAGCTATCTCCCTAGCCCTACTGGGGAATATCTAGAAAAAATTCAGAATAATTCATCATACTAAAATAATGATGATTGGGCTGGGGAGATAGCTTGGTGGAATAAGTTCTTGCCTGGCAAGCGCAAGGTACTGAGTTCAATCCCTAGTACTGAAAATAAATAAACAAATAAATAAAATAATGATGATCATTAGAAAGGAAGAAATATTAGTTATCCAGTTGACTGCTTACTTGAAAATTGAAAATATTTTCTCAAATTCTGCTCAGAAGACAAAATATTACATGTTGTATGTGATAAAGACCTTTCAAACATTCATTTTGTTCTAGAACTCCAAGAAAAGCTCATGATGTATAGAAAATAAGGTAATAATAACTGTAAAATCTTTAGCTATGCATTTTTACAATTTCTTGTAATATTTTGCTTGAATTTTACTGTCTAAACAGCTATTATACAGGATAAAAGAAACTAGCACATTCCACTTGAGCTATAAAAAATAAACACATAAAATTTTCAGAAGCACTAAAATTAGATCATGACTTTAGGTAGGGCATTTAAAAATTATACCTATATGTTTTACCTTTCTACATTCACTGCTATATCCAAGAAACAAAATATGAAGAATTCCGGAATAACCTTCCTTGAGACAAGAAGATGAACCGTGGAATATAGGATTTATATTATATTATGACCTTGGTATACAATTTTCACATTGTGCTTTTCTAATTGGTACATTGCATACCTTATTTTACACTAAACTGTGCTTAGGCAAGGATCCATTTTAGACTTTTCAGGCAAACAGCATATCTATAGCAAGGTATGATCATCAACAGGCAGAACAACGTAAAAATTTTACAAAATGTATTTTTAATTACACCTAATATTTTATGCACATGCAAACCTATGTAGAAAAACTAGCTAAGTTTTACAACTGTAATCTTTTGTTTGTTTATTATTTCTTTTCTAGGGGGAATTGCCCAGTGTTCGCTCTAAGTTCCATGTCCTTTTTCTGCTCTTTGTGGCCTGCATGTTTTTTGTCAGCCTTGTGATTCTATTTGGTTACCATTGTTGGCTTGTCAGCAGAAACAAAACTACCTTAGGTAAGAATGAATATTAAGAGTAGGGAAAAACACATTAATGTATATCAGAGTGACCTGCAGACTGTTCCCAAGTAAGAGAAAAAATACCTAATGAAGTACTTTAACTGTGTGACATCCTGTTGCCTACAAATAGAGTCAGACAAAAATGTATATGGTGAATGAAGCATATAGACTGAAGAAAGTATTAGTGAATGTTCTATGATGTGTACAGTTTAACAATTCAAAAAAATTTTAAAAGGCACTCACATGATGAAATGAAGGGAGGAATCAATAGAGAAGGAAACATTAAAATGGTGCGACATGCAGATCCATAAAGATAAAAGAGGCCAGCCAAATAACTCAGTGGATTAAAGCACCTGCAACCAGGCGCAGGGGCCAGGGGTTCAATCCCTGGGCCTGCCATGCCAGCCCCGCCCCCAAGGGCACACTGAGATGGCCATTGAGACTGACCTTAGTGGCATGCACCTGTAATCCCAGCTTTTGGGAGGCTGTAAACAGGCAAATCATTACGAGTCCAATCTAGTAGTGAGACCCTGAACACCCTGTAGACCCTTCCCTAAAACAAAATTAATTAATTAATTATTAATTACTTAAAGATAGAAGAATCTTTTATTAAGTGCATTCCAAAACAAAGTCCTGAGAAAGAAGCTAAAACAATAATGAGAGATCAGAAGTCTCAAAAATATCACATCTTTGAATATCTACATTTATCAAGAAACCATGTAGGAACTCCAGGAGTGACATAAACACATTGAACATGTAAGTCTTTAGAAAATAAGTACAATAAGTAAACATTTTTTGCTGTCAATTACTCAGTCCTCTAAGCTTATTATTATCTGGAATAGTGTATTTCTGATGATTCTGGGGCAATAGTTTTTTAATATGTGGTGAAACAAATATTTAAGTGGTCTGCAGATCAGTACAGAAGGAGTGAGGAGGAACTTTTCAACTGTTGAATATCTACCAAGGATAAATTTGATTCAAAAGCATAAAATGTTTGTTTCAAAAGCCACTGTACTTTAAGAATTTATTTTCTAATAATTGGTAGGTGGGAAATTATTTGCACCCATTTTCTAAATCAAATAGGTATGTAGCACTTAGGTGGTAGGGTGGACAAATTAGCACGTTTGGCTTAGAGATGTTATAATGTAGGAAGTACTTAAAGCTTCATAATAAAAGGCCTGAAACTAAGGGAAAAATGAAAAATGCCGAGATACAGCCAGAGTCCAACAGAGAAAGTGTTGTTTAATGGGATAAATGTGTGTCTAAAAATAATGTGCACTAACATGCCTCGATTCTCATAGTTTCTGAGGTGATTACAGCTCATCCATTTACATTTTATCAGGAGTAAAACTCAATTTCTTACATTGCAGGCTTCAGTATGAACATTTTCATTTCTGAAATGTTTTCACAACGAAATCAATGTCATTACCATGTCTTTATGTGCCATTACTTTGGTCCCAGCTTTACAGATGGAGACCATTTGGTTGTTTTTGCCACTTAGATTCAAATAAAATACTGTTAAATCTGTTCCTTCACTCCTTAGATCCAGTTGTAAAAATACATACTATACCTATGGCTGCTTAATTATTTCTACTGTCATGTGTTTCTCCTGCCTTTTAAAAAATAACACTACTAATTCTTTTTATTGAATAAATTTGCCTTTTATTACATGATTAAACTTATTTTTACTGTGTAGTGTAACAATAGCTGGCAATGAGTGGTACATACTACCACAGTGAAAACATGTCATAAAACCAAGTCACATTAGTGGAGATTTGTAAAACATAACAATGCTGAAATTTGTTCTTTTTATTTTTATTTTTATTTTTTTGCTTTTTTCCTCTTTTTGTCAACTCTCCTACCCTGTCCTAGAGGCCTTCTGCACTCCAGTGTTTACAAGTGGCCCAGAAAAAAATGGATTCAACCTTGGCTTCATTAAAAATATTCAACAGGTGTTTGGAGATAATAAGAAGCTCTGGTTAATACCTATTGGGGCCAGGTAGGTAATTATTACTATTGAAACAAGTTGATGCCAGAGCATGCCTTGAAGCAATGGATTCAATTTTGATTGTAGTATGAAGCAAGTCTAATATGACACTTCGTTCTCCAAGTTTTCCATTTCTCAGTTAGTAAAGACAAATCATGAGGCTATTCCATTTCTATGTCAACAATATAGGAACATAGGAATGGTTGAGTAAAAATATATAAACACAAGATGGAATATTATATAGTCAGTAGTAGTAGTTATAAATATAATGTCACAATAAGGAAAATGTTTACTGTGTTTTAAATGAAAAATATAAAATCCAAAATGGTATGTATACTGATTGAAAATATGAACAAATATATGCAGAAGAAATATACCCAAAACTGCTAAAATTTGTAAGCACTATGGTCTTAAAAATTATTTTTCTTTTCTCTACTTTTCATATTTGGACTTAAATATTAATACTACTTTTATGATGTACATAATTAAAAAGCAAGATGAAACAACTTGATTCAGAGATTGTAGACAGTTCTTATGACTACAACAGGAATGTAGGGGAAGTAATAAATGTAAAATGAGTACAAGCAAGCAAACTTTTGTCCTCTGGATGACTATATTATCCAGATTAAACCACGATCAACTTTACTACTGGAGCCGAGCTTCTTTATAGACATCTTGCATCCATTTAGATCTACTCTCAGACAGGGATACATTCAATGTTCACTTATTTGAGAAAATTTTGCTGAAGTTCAGTAGTAATTAAGGAAAATATTTCTCCTCCCCTTCACTTACTGTTTTGATACTTCTGTACCAGTTAGTTTTTATGGGCTCACTTATTTAAAATGTGATATATCCTGCTCTCCTGGATATAGGTCATCACACAAAGTAATATCACTGGGTTATACTATCAGCAATTTTCTATGCCCTATTTGTAAATGTGTACATGTAATTATGTACATGCAATCACCCCATTAAATAAAGGTCTAAAATGAGTCTTTTTGTGCCATAGAAAACTGATCAAACAAAAACAAAAGCCATGGCCTATTCATGTGCAAACAGCATACTTATATTCTCTATAGAATGAGATTGCTAAGATTTATTAATGTCCAGTGAAGTGCATTTATGAGCAAGAGGAAAGATATAGGTGATATCAAATGAGTAATACAAAAATCACTCTGATTTAACTTTGGAATACAATCAGATATACATATTCAAATGTTCACACTATGACCCTGAATACCCAGCACAACTGCAATTCCTTCCAATGTACCCAATCTGTTAATGGCCAGAAATTAACCAGGAAAGTGATCATAACTTACCATAGACAGCCACACAGTACGACCACATTTGATAATTGCATTCAAAATCTGTCCTCTGTAGAAACTTCACTCTAGCTCTTTCCCCAAGTTCCTAGTAACTTTTCTGCCAGACAAACCAAATCAAGAATATGGCATCTGGACATTATCAACAATTCACAGCAGCTTATCTCCAACTGCCTTCAATGATTCTGAGTCTATTCATTTTACTTAAAAAATTTAGAATCAAAACAGTAAGACAATAAGATACATATTGGGATCATTATCAATAAATGATACTCATAAAACTTGCTACATTTTACTGTGTTGGGCATTGGGGAAAGCAAGTTAAAGCTTTTCTTACAAACACAGTTAACACTAATGCAGACAAATAAGATATGAAAATTTAGAGCAATACAGCAGCTCAATGAAACTACTGTAAGAAACTATTTCATCATGGATAATTACTTTCATAAAAGTCTATATACCTGCAAAAGCTCACTGCCTTCCTCTCCTCACCAGCCCTGGTGATGGACACTCCTTCCCTATGAGGTCTATGAATGAGTCACAGAACCCATTGCTAGCAAATGAAGAACCCTGGGAAGATAATGAAGATGATAATCAAGGTAAGTGGACTGAGGAGAAAGTTCTTTTCTCCACTCGGCAAAACAAGCACTATAAGGACCATGTTAATACAACCAATGTAATGTGTAGTAGATTGTGTTTAGAAAGATTTCATAAACCTATTGGAATTTTATTTATCTTCTCAATGGAGGAGGGCAAGTATGGTCAAATTTATTTAGCACACATGGATAGCTTTGACAAGATTGACATCACCTTGTAGGCTCCTTACTAGCTTTGCTGTACCACAACCTATAGCTAGTCCGTAAATCAGAAAGCATAAGAAGCAAGGTTTGGTTGTTTTTGTTTGTTTGTTTGTTTGTTTTGTTTCATTTTGTTTTGGGTTTGTTTTTTTTTTTTGGTTTTTTGGCACAACTGGGGATTGAACTCAGGTTCTTGTGCTTGCTAGAGAAGCACTTATTCTACTGAGCTATCTCCAAAGCCCGAAGAAGCTTTGTGAATGCTTATAAACAATCCTGCTAGGTAATCACTAATGATGTTTTGGTCACATTCAAAACTTTTGTTCAATAAATGAGCAACAATTTGTCTTTGTCTACCTTCTATTCATATTGATTAAATGTTCTTAAATATCTTATACTCATTATGTTTTAGAATATTTAAGTACACTAATTTTTTTAAAAAAAATAGAGAAAAGCCTATACATGTATGTAGTAGTTGTGAAGGGAAACTAAGGAAGCAGAATGTTTCCCTTCAAAGTTTCTTCCACCAGATCATTAGGTCATCGTGAGACTTTATGTCAAGTTCTTAAAATTAAGTCTGTCATGTGTCTGCACTATCAATCCTATTCTTTGCCTTTACCTCATGTTATGCCTACTTCTAGGCCTCCAACATTTGCTCATGTTGCTAATTCCAGATAACAGCATTGGTACCCAAACAAGTCCAAAATCTACAAGTGGAAACATCAAGTCCTATAGTTCTATTTCAACATCCAAAGCAGTCTGTGACAAATTGTGGGCTCCATGTGGCTCCATCTATGTGGCACTTTGTGTTGGAACTCCCATAGCTTCTCTCGTAGTTCTGCATTGCTCCCTCCTTGCAACTTTCATTAGATGATCCACATTCTTGGTTTCCCAACCTTCTGGTGTTTTCACTATACATTAGGCTTCTCACTCTATGCTTCACACACTTTCCTTCCAGGGCACACTGCCTGGCCTCCTAGGTCTTCTGAAATCCAGGTGGAAGCCTTCTTAACCTCATATCTTGCATTATGCAAGTGCCTAAAACCAATGCCACGTGGATGATGCCAAGAAGTAGCCAGGTTTTCTTCTCTCTTGGCTGTAGAAATCTAATACCAGAGTATATAATGATTATGCACAGCCTATCCCTTTCACTCTATGTATTAGTGTATCATCTATGACAAGAAAAGCATTTTAAAAGAATTCAGCCATAAGAGAATTAAACTTTCTTTAACTAGCCAAAACTGCTTGTAGTTCAATTTAATGAAGCTAAACATGGATTCTAATTTCTTTTGATAATTCTAATAAAGTATATTCCAGGAGGGATGTTTTATCAAGTAAAATGTCTGTATACTATAAAGCAAAATGTGCTTGATTTCCTAATATAATCTTCTGATAATAATGATAACTAGGGTTTACAACAATTGATCTTTCTTGTCAAATGCTGAACAATTAGCTGGAAAATATTGTCTTCATCCTTCAGCATATGAAGTGGTTTATATATAAAGCTAATTTCCTTTTCCTTTATTTGTATAAAACTTCCTTTGTATAACATCTATTATTACTGCTCTGGATAGAATACATTTCTCACTTACTTTTAATATTGCAGTTTCTACTGTCATTACAAGTCACCTGTTAGAAACACAGAAGAAATAATGGAGTATTTATTGAAAGCATACTAAAGGTATGACATTGGATCAAAGAGAGGTGTTAAATAGTACAGTATCTGAATTCAAGTGTCTTATATTTATATAGAGAAAATAATAAACACACATGAAAAGTTGCCTAATGGAACACATTATAGGATATGTTATTGAGTGGGAGATTGTTAGGCTGATCCAGCAGGTATATTGTTAACAAATTGGGTGGAACATTAGACAGAAGACTAAGAGCAGTAGGTGATAAGGTAGTCCTGATGGTTTGTGACCTGAAAGATAATGTAAGAAAAAATGTTGTTTTAGAAAGTGATGAAAAGCAAACTTTCATCATATGACAGAGATTTCTCTAATACCTGGACATCTGAAAGAACTGGATAGATCCCTTGATCAGAATTCAAACTCTCCAAGTAACCTCCTATACACAAGAGCCCACAATCAGAAATGAGAGGCCTTTCACATCAAAATCTTTATTGTTCAGAAGAAGCCTGTGTTGGTGATATTCTGTACAATCATCTCCCACTCAGAAACAACCACTGAATCTTGTTTCAATAAAAAAGCTATTTTTTTCACTTAGTTCTTGTTGTGGTCCCCCAAAAGCCTCATATATTCAGAGGTAAAGCTTTTGGGATGGTGGTTGGATCATGAGGAGCTATAATTATCAGTGAATTGATCCATTCATGAGTACTATAGAGATGTGAGGCCTGCATAGAACAGATTTGTGAGTGGGGTTTCTTTAGAGGGTATGTCTCCCTACCTACTTCTCTCATATTTCTCTGCTTCTGGTTTTCATGAGGTGAACAGCTTTACTCCATTTGCCCTTCCATCATGCTGTTTCTTCTTTGTAGTCAGCTGACCATCGACTGAAACCCCAAAATCATGAGTCAAATTAAATTGTGGGTGTTTGACTATTTTGTTCCAGCAGTGGGAAAATTGAGTGATACAGTTCTTCAGGTCTAATGTAAAGCTCCTGCATTCTACTCCCAAATATACTTCTTTAGGTGTATCAAATTGTCTTTATCCCTGTACAAAGTAGCAGTAGGAGCGATAATTCAGTTATCTACCAGGTTTCCATAGCAGAATTCAAGATATAGTGACCTATGCTAACACCTTCTTAACTGGTCTTCTCATGGGTCATATACTTATGGTTAGATATTTGAAATGATTTAGCATGAATATGTAAGTGTATCTTCCAAAAGATATCTTCAAAACATTGCCTATGTCTTGCTGTATTTTGAAGATATAACTTTTAGAAAATTCCTTCTGTGTGGACATCAATTTCAATTTCGTGATCTCTAAGCTATATCTTGTTTCTACATATAGAAAATAGCATCATTCTAAAGTAGGATGTCTGAATGGAAAATGGGGGAATAAATTACCTGGGCAATATGATACATACATAAAAATTGTGTAACAAAACACAATACAGGATATGTTATTGGTTAGATGACTAAAACTATGAACTTTGTGCTTTGTGCTATAGAAATTAGAAAGAGGCAATAGCGAGACATTGTTGCTTTCAATCGCTGTTTTGGTACGAAGGGCCAGAGCCACTGCTCTGACTTGCTTGGTAGTCAGAGGGCAGCTTTTTGGGAACCACATGAGCCAATGGCATTACTCCCACAGTGGCTGGGGCTATGGATACAAGTTTTCTGGACGTCCTTCAGCCAAGAAAAAAGGTGGAAATTGCATCCCTGAAAAGTTGAAAGACTGTCTCCTAGTTGGACAGCGGATGCCAGGAACTCACTTTGTTGCTTTTAAAGTACCTTTGCAAAAGAATTTTGAAGGGAATCTTGCTTCAGAAGAACGCTTTTCTCTTTTGGATCTTTTCAACAAAATCCAAGAGCAAAATGAAGAGCTTGGACTGATTATTAATTTAATATATACTCAGTGCTACTATTAACCAGATGATTTACGAGAAACTATTAGTTAATTAAAAATTTGTACAGTTGGGCATCAAGTGCCTAATGATGGCACTATCTTTAAATTTTAGTGTGCTGTTAATAAATTTTTGCAAGAAAATTAAGATAATGACAAACTTACTGGTATTCACTGTACCCATGATTTAAACAGGACTGGCTACCTCTTCTGCAGACATTTGATTGATGTAGAAGGCATGAGGCAGATGATGCAATTGAATTATTCAATAGGTGCCTAGGACATTGCATAGAAAGGCAAAACTATGTTGAGGATCTTCAGAATGGTCCTATCAGAAAGAACTGGAATTTTGCTGTACCCAGATCAAGTGGTTTTGAAGACTCTGTGAAACTGGTCCACAGCAATAACAAGTCTGTTAACCATGGGCCAAGGTATAGCCTACAAAATCCACCCCCTTCCCGGCATTTTCATACCCAGACCCAGAACTGGCAACAATCAGTAAGAAAATTTTCACAAACTCAGAATGTTTACCAGAAAGGTCATATCCCTCCTCCTGACCCTGTTGGAGAGGACTAGGCACAAAGGAGATACTTTTGGAGTATGAAACCAAATGATAGCCAAACAGCTCTGAATAAGAGGCGGTATGCTGGTGGTTACCAGAGACTTTCTTCTCCAACCTGTTGGGGATGGAACAAGTGATACAGGCCTGTCCTGGAAATCTACCTGGTGATGAGAGCTGGGCTGAAGATTGCTGGAGTGACTTTCAGTAAAAATCAGGTCAAATTATTTTTCAGGTCAATGAGGTTTTTTAAAAAAAATTATTGCTCCCTTATGTGTGTTCTAGCTTAAAGAAAAGTTATGAGATATTACCTCTCTGCTTATAAATTCATATTAATTATAGCAATGTAAAAATCGATGAGTCCATTTAAATTTTTCTACAGAAAATGTTTTAGATCTGATAAACTTCCCTTGCAAATTATTTTTTAAAATTATATCCTTTTTTCTATGTAATTGCTTCAGATTAGATTTGTAGTATGAATCTTTTATTGTTTTTGTTATGTTTATTGATCCAGTCACTAACAATATTTTTTTCCTAACTGTCCAAATTTCTACTAAAATCTACCTAGAAAGACAGTTTATTCAAGCTAATCACTATTAGTATTAGTTCTGATATTTTTGTGACCAGGTGTTTTTTAATTTGGCAGTCAGTATTGGGATTTGACCAACCTCCTTGTACTGAATTGCCAGATGTGCCATCAAACACAAAAATGGATA